AAAAATAACAAAAAAAAACAAAAAAAAAAAAAAAAAAAAAAAAAACCCTCTTTAACTTTGGACAATAATCAGAATTTTTTAGCTTTGATACCCAAAACTTTAGGTATCAAAGTGTCAAAGATAAGAATTTGGAGGTATCAAAGTTCAAAAAGGTTATTTGACGTATCAAAATGTAAAGGAAAAAACTTTTAAGTGTCAAAGTTCAAAAAAAAAGTATAAACTTTGGAGTATCAAAGAGTCGGAAAAAAACTTTGGGGCATCAAAGTTAACAATTATGTAAACTTTGAGGTGCTAAGGTGCAAATAACTCTAATTTCTATGGTCTAACTAATCAAAATCTTTGTTCGATTGCAAATGGGTGGACCACCTCCTTAGTAAATTGACGGACCACCATTCCTCCGCCATCCTTTCAATCGAGGAAGTTGGTTAATGGGCCAGATGCGATATTATTTATCTTCCAACGTCGGCCCAAAATTGGTACGTCCTTAGTTATAGGCCCACAGTGCTGGTTATAATTAAAAAAAAATATTGGTGCATAGACAAAAGTGAGATGAAGCGCCGGTAGATTTGACGTGCAAGTAAACAAGTTCCCTAATTTAGACTATGTAGCTGGAAAAGTGAACTATTGAAATATTATTAGAAAATTTTGATTACAGGGTGAACTCCAACGAGCGGGCCGAAGCATACTCTTCTTTCGTTAAAAGAGAGAGGGGGGAAAAATACGTAGAGGTCAAATCCTTGCTTTATATAATGAGAAATTAGCGAACATCTCCCAAGGGCGGTTTCTTTCTATGCGTTTTACATCCCTGCATTAAAATAATAGGACCGAGCGGTTAAAAAGCATGAATTTTTGGCACATGGTTTGTTTCTCATTTTCTATATAGAGATGTGCGGATGCCACATAAGATAAACATATCAATTATAATTCTCTAAAATCATGTTGATTTCAGTTAAATTTGTGATTTTGGTCATATATTCTTAATAAAATTCACGTATAACCAAACAAAATTTAATTAAAAGTTATCTATCATGCTAATTCTTTAATATCCATCACAAACAAACACGAATCACGAATTTAATTATGAATTTTAAACTGTATTACATGCATCATATGATTAATCCACAAACCAAACAACCCCTTAAAGGCACTAAATAACGCATCCTAAGCACATAAAACAAGGACATGTATCATTTATTATTTTAAGACTAAATTAGAATGGGTTTATCTCTTCTTATAATTCCAACAAGTATCTTTAATTTTATCTAATCTAAAAAAAATAACATATGAATATTTAATCCTATTGTTTTCGGGGAAAGTTGCTGTTTTCATTGCTTTTGAATCTGTTACAACTTCAAGCGTTACAACAAGAATCGATAAAAAGTCGGTCTTTTTATAAGACCTCCTCGTGCAACAAAACAAAGATTACAACTTTTCGAAAATAAACACGAGATCCCGTTTTGGTGCGGTCTCGCTTGCGTGGGTCTTTGGCCTGTGACGGGGACGTCAATATCCGTGGACCACCGGGGCAATCAGATCTGGTCCGGATAAATCGGACAGAGCTTCGTCGATCCGCGTGAGATCTAGAAACTTCTGATCCAGAAATATCGGACAGAGCTTCGTCGATCCGCGTGAGATCTAGAAGCTATAAGCGTCTATCTCGGCTAAAGCGAGATATGAGCTCTTCTTAGTATTAACGCCAAGGGCTAATACTAAGGAACAGACGGGGAATGGGTGATGAAGACTGATGTAGACCTCTCCTCCTTGGTTGAAGCGCTCGACCACTCTTTGCTGCAGCAGGGCTTCGCCAAGGCTCTCCAAAAATCCCGATCTTTCCAAATGAGGTAAGGGGGGCTATTTATAGGCTAGGGGGAGCCCCTAGGGTGCCTAGACACCCTAGGGTGTCTCTAGAAATCCGAGACACCCCTAGGGGTGTCTCGGAAAATCCGAGACACCCTAGGGTGTCTCAGAAATTCCGAGACACCCCTGGGGTGTCTCGGAATTTCTGAGACACCCCTGGGGGTGTTTCGGGATTCCGAGACGTCCGTAGGTGCGTTTTGGTTGTTTCCCCGTAGATTCTTCGTACGAACTCGGATTTGAGTGATTCCGGGTGCGTCGGATGCTTGACGAAGAGTTCGATCCGCTCTGGTGGTTGGATTATCTGTAGAGTGGTCGAGGCATGAAGGGCGTTGTCCTTTTTGTGAACAGTGCCGGGCTTCCCGATTGGTCCGGGTCTTCGTGATTCCGAAGTCCTATCCGCTCATGTAACTCGTCGATTCACTTCAGTCGTTCGTCGACGTCGATTAGGCTCATGTGGATCGGATGGTGACGTTCATCGTCGTTCGTTAACACTGAACCGGTTGTGGAGAACTATAGGCAATTTTTGATGCCTACAGATACCCCCTCCAAAGTGTTCCTGACTCGTTTCTTTTATAGAAGAGGCTGGAATACTTTGGATGTGATTGATCTGGCCTTCAGTCGGCGTAGTTAGCTTCAACTCTTGACTCTTTCGATTTTCGATCTATTCGATGCTTTGACGAATAGCCGAGGTTCTTCTGGCGCTGCGTTTATCGCTTGGCCGTCGTCGGAGTCTTGAATTTGCAGCTGATGAATTGAGTTTGGCTCGTGTCATTGGTGTTGACTTTGAACTACCTCCGTCACATCGTGTTGACTTAGGGTTTTGGATCGCCGTGTGTTGACTTTTTGTCGCAACGCGTTGACCGGCGTTGACCTAGGATTACGCGTTGACCGGCGTTGACCCTAGGGTTTTGAATTGTTGAACGTTGATTGGTGTGGATTTTGGATCCTCGAACGTTGACTTTCGTTGCAACGCGTTGACTGGCATTGACCTAGGGTTACGCATTGACCGGCGTTGACCCTCAGGGTTTCGAATCGTCAAACGTTGACTTTTGTTGCAACGCATTGACTAGCGTTGACCTAGGGTTACGCGTTGACCGGCGTTCACCCTCAGGGTTTCGAATCGTCGAACGTTGACTTTGGTTGCAACGCGTTGACTGGCGTTGACCTAGGGTTACGCGTTGACCGGCGTTGACCCTTAGGGTTTCGAATCGTCAAACGTTGATGGTGTGGATTTTGGATCCTCGAACGTTGACTTTCGTTGCAACGCGTTGACTGGCAATGATGTAATATTTCCTTGAAAGGGGTTAACTGTACAATGATAGTGCCATTATACAAAATTGGTGCAGTTTAAATCAAAGGTATTCAATTGATACTAAAGGAAGTAGTATTCCACATGTTTTCAATCAAGAATTGATCATGTGTAGAGCCATTTACAATCAAAAGGGGGAAATGGACTATACACAAATAAGAAATTAAAATTGAGTGAAAAGCTGTCCTCATCCTCGTGAAAATGAACTATACACAAATACATAATTCTCACAACAGAACTCTAATGTTGCACAAAAAAAAAACATTTAAGAAAAGAAAATTAAAATATCCACCTCTGAAATAAGCTTGAATGCCACTTCGGCTTTTGGATGCCTGTTCTTATCTGGATGAAGCTGCAATGCTGCAGAAATTTTACAAAGAGCTCGATAAGCAAAATAATAATAATAATAATAATAAAATAATAATAATAATAATAATAATAATAATAAACAGCATTGTGATTAATTTGTGAACAAATAAACTTCTATATATTTTCTCTTGAGAAAAGAAATTTACAAGTTAAATTAGATTTAAAACATACCCAACTAGCGATATCGCTTTCGGATCATATCACTCCCTGAATCCTCATCAATCTACACATATACATTCCCATAATAAAAACAAATAAAACATAAATTAATGAAAAAACCCAGGAAAATGAATAAAAATAGGAAATAAAATACTCACTCTTAGAATAAGATACCAATTAATGAATCCAGGCTTCTGGGTCGAACTCCGATTAAGTGGAGGAGAAGGCCAAATTAAGTGGCGATTAGGTTTTTGATGGAAAGGGGGATTAGGGTTAGGGTTTTCACCGAAGAGGAGGAGGGAGCGACAGAGCTTTGAGCGGCGGTCCAATCGAGCGGTCGGTCTACTACTGAAGGAGGAGGAGGAGCTCGAATCAGGGTTTTTAGGGGAGAGGAGGAGGTGGCGAGAGAGCTCCGACGATGACGACGACGACACGAGGAGGAGGGCGACGATGGTTTTGGAGACGAGAGAGGGAGTGAGGGCGCCCTAGTTTTGGCGACAAGACAGGGAGGGAGGCGGCGAGAGAGCTCTAACGACGACGACGAGAGTAGATGGACGGCGCTGGTTTTGGCGAGAGAGAGGGAGGGCGGGCGGTGCTGCTTTTGGCGACGAAAGAGGGAGGGAGGGCTCGACACAGGTTTTGGCAACGATAGAGGGAGGGAGGCGGCGAGAGAGCTCGAACGAGGATGAGAGGAGGAGGGCGGCGCCGCTGGCCAGTTTTGGCGAGAGAGAGTGAGGGGAGCAGCGAATTGCAGAGAGGGATCGAAATAATTTGGGGGGGGGGGGGGATAAAATTTGGTGCTTAGCTGCAGCGGGCGGCCTGCTCGTCTGTTTTCCATTTTCAGTCCTCCCGTCTTAACCCTATTCCATGCGCACAGACAAAAAAAAAAAGACATAGTGATGAGAGACTTATAGCGCTTTGAAAATTTTTCAAACGCTATCAAAAGAATAACGCGCACATCATAAACATAGCACTTGTACAACATAAACGCTTATCATTCAAGCGCTATAAAAAAAGCATATTTGTTGTAAGCTGATATATATATATATATATATATATATATATAATGAATATATATATATATATATATATATGAATATATACTATATAGGATATATATCATCCTTGTTATAGGAGATGTATTCCTCTCCTTATCGCCTATGCTGCCCATAATTCTCACCGTCCTCATAAAGAGGCACAAATCCCCACCACTCACACTATTTCTCCTAATTTTATTGAGGCATGGTGGGCATTGTGTACATAGCGCTGGTCAAGGAGAAAATCCCCTCTTATGACAAAGGATATATATATATATATAACTATATTATATAAATTATATATATATATCCATATATATCCGCTAGGGATAGCAGTTTTCTCACTCCAATTTTAATACTTATTCTTTATATTATGGTGTGTTATTAGCAATGTATGTATTTGTGTATAGTTCATTGTTTTTCATCCTATATATATATATATATATATATAAATATATGAAAAGTTCTATTCATCAAAACGCCGTTAAAATTGTACGAGTGCTGATGAACCGGGGCTTCAAAACGACGACGGGTTCACCCCCAAAGCTTGTCGCGGTGTGTTAGGGCTTTTAGACAGTATATAGATCAACGTTCAACGGAGGCGGATCATCCACATGTCGCCTCAACATGTGATTTTAGAGCGGTGCATAGTGAGGAAAATCCCCTCCTATGACCAAGGATACCCCATAATATATACTATATATATATAATATATATATATATATATCATACTATATATATATATATATATATATATAATATATATATATATATATATATGTAAGAAAATAATGTATATGAGGTGGCAGCTCATTTTGCTAAATGAGCTAATAAGAGATAATCATGTGTGTAGCTTATTTTGCTAAATGAATTACAAAGAGAGAGTCATAGAGTGATGCCCACCTTGCTAGTCACATAAAAAAGGTGTGGACCTCACCACTCTAGCTCATTTAGTAAAATGAGCCGCCACCTTATATCCATCATTCCCAACACACACACACACACATCCCTACCCCCACACACTTTATACTTGTCCAAAAGGGATGTCTATTACGCTATCTAAAAATTTAATATATCAAACTAGTTTGATTCTTATTCTAGTAGACTCCAAACTATATAAAAATTTTACCATGAACATTTGACGATGTTTTGAATAAGATGTACAGTATCGATCATGAACATGATAAGCCAATTGGTCTAGCTCAAGATAAGATTTGAGCTCACCAGGCCATAATATCTTTACGCACACATGTAGTAACAATATTTTCCAAATATAAATATACATGATTTCGGAAGAGATTTTAATTTTGAGACAATCTGTTACTAAAATAGTTAAATACATTTCCCTCCCTATGTATAAAGATCAAGATTTTTTAAACAATTAGTTAACAATATCTTCCAAATATAAAGATTGTGATTTCACCGAAAGAAAATTTTCTGTAATATTTTCCGTCATATAGAGATTGACCAAGATAACATTTAGCAACAGATAACAGATTAACTGATTTCAGTATATATGATGACTAGTGTGCACCCTGTGCAAAGCATGACCTCCATTTTTTATTTCCGCTACAGTAATTCTATATGTAAATACAGATTTTGTAAATGTTGCAGTACTATTGTTAAATGCTACAGTGTCCGGCATGAGCTACAGTAATAATGCTACAGTATTTTACTGTATCTTGAATAATGAATCTTGGATACTCCTGCTTGTGCTACAGTAACATTTAGTGTAACATAAATAGTGAATCTTGAACCCTCCTATTATTATAGAGAAATAGATATATGTATTATGATGATGATTCGGGATTAATTTTGAAAGACGACGGATAGTTGGGATTAATTACAGGTGGCAAATTAATCTGAGAAGAGAGCAGCTGATGTGGCGAGCTCTCGGAAAGCTTAGGGAGAAGGGTTTTGTTTTAAAGGTACGCATTTAGTAACAAATAGTAATAGATAATAGATACAACGTACTTGGTAAGACATGAATAGATTGTACATCTTAATGCAAAATATAAAGCTAAATTGGACGTCAACATATGACCTACATATTACTAGTATCTAAAACGAAATGGATTTATGCACAAAAAATAATTTTTTTTTTTACAGATAACACTTGCTGATAGTATTTTCATATTTGAGTAAAATGCTTCTAAAATAGAACTTTCCGTTGAGGATCATCATACAAAAGGAATTGGTTACAGCCACCATGAAGAAAACTTGATAAAATTTACAGCCAAAGGATAAGCTTCACACATAAAAAGCCTTAAGTTGCTGGTCAGTCCTAAACCCTTAAATGCCAAATTTCTAGCCAAAACAAGAGATGAGCTTATGTCAACTTAAGTGGATAGGAAGCATTGTCCACCAAACTTTTTATTCACTCATATTGTTTTTGGATTTGTGTCATCAAAAGATGCACAAGACTCTTCATGTGTCTTTCACTGATCCCAAGGCAACATCAATGAATAAAAAAGTTAGCGGATGACTAGCTCTTATCCACTTAAGTTTACATAAGATTTTCTCCCAAAACAGATACAAAGAAGAGTAACCAAGCATAAACCCAAAAGGCCATTTCCCACTGAACAACCTTATCCTCCTCCCATCTCAAACTCTGCTTGTTTTTATTTTTAAGCACTCAAACTATGCACCATTAGAGAATCACCAAAGATCAATGAAAGTAACTTGCATAAAATAAAATTGTAAAGCCACAATTCTGTTAACAGGTAAAGCTAATAGACAAACAAAAGAGAAACAAAACGCACCCTAGATACTGCACATTACTTCAGCAATCGTCTACGACGGCATAAACAAACTACATATAATTTAAAGCAGACAAAATTATGTCGCTCTTGGAGGTTCTTCTGCTGGTAACACGTCATCATCATCATGGTAGATATTCTCAGCCATCTGCCATATCTGAAGGATATTGTCTTCAGCGACGCTGGCGATGACCCAATCCTCGCAAGGGTTCCAAGAGAAATCGGAGATCTTGCTAGTGTGGCCACCATGTATGAACAGAAGTTCTGGTGGACCATCTTCCGCATCCTCTGGTGTCTGTTCATCATCAATCCTGTAAAAGAAAATTTTCCACATGAAGAAAATTTGACATCCACATACTATAAACCAACACGAATTTTTCTGAATTGTCCTGTTTCCCCGTTAAATAGGAATAGACTCATCTGATCAATGGAATTAAAAATAAAGACGAAAGGACAAGATACCTATTGAGGTCGAATAGGGTATTCAACATTGGAGCAGAAAATAGGAATAGACTCATCTGATCAATGGAATTAAAAATAAAGATGAAAGGACAAGATACCTATTGAGGTCGAATAGGGTCATCAAGATTGGAGCAGAAAGAAGTCACTGCCATTGAAGCGACAGAGAGCAGTACAGATGCTTTTAAGTTCTTATTAAAGCACTTCTGGTATGGTTGTACCGAGAAAAGGAAGACGGAACATTATGTAAGAATGATCTAATTTGACAGCAAACGAGTCTAATTTAGTACATGGTAAGATGTGGGTGCAAATATAGGAGCCTGATTCAAGCTTAACGGACACTATGATAAAGAAACAACCCATCTTTCTGGTCCTCGTACAGAAAACAGGCATGACATTTCACCTTAAATTCTCACTTGTTTGTATTTTATGAAAGTCATAACCTTGAGAAGGAGAATCGTCATATGTTTTGACACTCAGAATTAGTGTTGCTGTGTGTTAGCCAGCAGGTGTCACAACAGAACTCAAGTTTCCAGCCAGGGTATCTGTTCACATTCGGTACTTACTTGGGAGGCTGAGAGAAGGATGAGGATCAAGTGAAGAGTTTTTTTGCTCCAGACAACCAGCAAAGAATTCTATTCAGAAAATCAGAGAGGTAAACTAAAGAATAAAGCATTCCTACCTTTGATAGGTCAGAGTTCGGTGCATGTACTCAAGGAGGAATTCTACTCGGTAAATCAGAGAGGTAAAATAAAGAATCCAGTGAAACAGCCCCAAACATTTGCCTAATGATTAACTCGTCTCCTTGTGTCCATCAGCCAATTATTGTTAGTTTGAGATAACTGTGCAAACATTTCAATTTTCAAGGTCAAGCTTTACCTCATGCAGACCTGATATTCTTATCTTCACTACACATTTGTTTCTAGACTCCCCAATTTGTCCTAAGCGGACTCCACCATTTACTAGTTACTACTAAAAGCAATATGTCAGTATCATTCTGCTCATTCATTTAACTAAATTGGCTGCATTTTCTCTACCAACTGTGCAAAGTCTTTATGAAGAACCAATCAAGCAAAAGTATAGCAAAAGGAAGCATCTTCAAACAAAAAACATATTACTTACATTACAACGTTGCATGTTACTCTATTAAAAGTTAATGTTTTGACAGTTTTCAGTAAATACCTGCTAAGATCCCACACCATGAGCCTCCTACCAAGACAGCAAGATGCTAGTATTGTCTCATTCTTCGGGCTCCAGCCAACTTGGAAAACCTCTTCTCTATATATACAAGGTGGTACAAAATGTGAGTATTTTTCATTACGGATCAGTAATCAACAAAAAAAGCATTCATGCTTGTGGACACATCAAAGATGAATGCTTACTTGTGAGAATCAAAGGTATGCAGAGCAGTACTTAGCTTACGGAGGTCAAACAACTTGACAGTCTTATCAGTTGAACCTGTTGCTACAACCCACTCATTGAAGGGATTGAATGCCAAGCAATTAACCTGGCAAAGATCATGTAAACAATTTCCAATCTTCAAGTGACATAATTCAAGAAATTTTTTCCCTCAATTGTTAACTATATACAAATGCTTAAGAAAGGCAAGTTACTTTGTCCTCTTCATTCAATGGATGTCAATACTCATAGCAAAGTAGAGGTTACCAAATTCTCTACGGGTTCACTTTTGCGAGACAAGAGTCATAGCTCAAAATACTGGTAGTATGACACAATTGTTGTCACTTAAATAAATTAAGTCAACTTTTTTCCATGGGTCCATGGAATATAAACCACATGGTTGTGATAATGAAATAATAATGATTTACGACAGTGAGAATTGTCAAGAAAGTTGACCAACAGAAGCAAACTTTTCAGTGACTTCGGTCTAAAATTGACGATGATGTAAATCACTACATTGAGTAACTGCTACAATAATTATAACTTAAAAGAGAATCAATGTAAATCACACAAATAAATCATCAGTTGAAAGTAAAAAAAGGCGGAAAAAGGCACATACTCTGCATCGGAGACTTAATTAAAAGCTTTAACTTATTTTAACTATAAGAAATGTGAGTACAAAGTCCTTGTACTTTGTTATGCTGGGGCCCAGTGCAAATATCAGAATGGTCTTTTACATGGCCAATTTAGTACCATAGATGCCAAATATAACAACTAATAGGTATACTTATACCTGTGATTCGTTATATATTATATATTAGGACAACAGGAGATCCCCTTTTCGTCGAACATTAAAAGAATGGGCGCCAAAAGGGGTGGAAATGAACCAAATAATTAATAAACTGTTCGGTTATTATTCGTTCAAATATTCTGTCATATTCAATTTGGTAGTTCATTTAATAGTAAATAAATATCTTTTAGTCTTTGTTTCATAAACAAATACAGTTTAATCAAAGATGTATTCGATTCTGTTGATAATTGAATATTCGTTTATATTTTACATTGTACTCTATTACTTAATTTATTACAAACCCTATTCATCCATCTTCCTAGATAAGTAATTATGGTAAGAAGATACCACAGATATCAAAATAAAACGCAAAAGGAAAAAGTCTAGCACAAATTATTGATAGATAGTCGCGATTAATATCAAAATAAATGGGGAAGGAAAGCCGACAGAATTTATGGTAAGCTAGTTACAATAAATAGCTAAATCAAGTGCAAAAGAAAAAAAAATCACTTATGTGAATCGAACCCAAGACCATAGAGAAGAGAATCTCAGACATTACCAAACATCCTCAGAACTTTTTGGCGAATAAATATCGACAACATTATATATACCAAATCAAATTTGAATTTCAATCAGGTATTGAACCCGGGTTCGAATTCGAATATCTCAAAATCTACTGAACTCGAATTTGAATTCAAATAGTTAGGTATTCAATCGAATTCGATTCGTTTCCACACCTAGCGACAAAACATGAATATCTCCTCTTCCTAATAGATAATATGTTAGGAAGACAGGAGAGCCCCTCTCCATCAAACGTTAAAATAATGGACAAGAGAACATAAATACCTCTATGACAACTAGTTGAGAAAGGAAGCGTTACTCACCTCACCTTGATGAGCAACTACAGATTGAATTGGCTTGTTAGCTGTTGGCGTTCTAAGATCCCATATGAGCAAATGTTGATCATCCCCAACTGAGCCAAACAAATATTCATGCCTCAAATGCCAGGCAACATCTTCCACAACACCTTCATGTACCTAGTTCATGAGAATATATCAAAAACATTGACAATGAAATTGATGCCTTTAGGTAAAAACCTCTCAAAAGTAATGTATTAGATTTTAATATGACAGAAAAATCATGCACTGTTAATGAGGAGAATATTTGGAACATTATCAATATGACCATGGGTATTTTCCCAGTCCTGTAATCTCTTAGCTGCTAACAACCAAAAGTTAATACACTCTTATAAGCGCATTAACAGTTTACCATATCTGCTTTATGCACTAGAATGCCTGAACTATATAGTAATACAACAATACGCAATAAATTAATCAAGCACTGACAGGTAGCTAAAATCGGAGAATACACTCTTCAGTAGAGGTATCAACAATATATGTCAAATAAATAGGACGACAAAGCAAACATTTCAGAGATACCTTAAAAATTTGTAGAGCGTCTAGAGATTTATTTTTGGGTGTTGCATTGATGTCCCACAAGCATATTTGAGCATCATCTGAACCACTTAAAAGATGACCCTGTTTAAAAAGACTCCATGACAAACCATATCCTTCAGAGTTGTGGCCCTTCAGCCTCAAATCAGGATTGCATGCACCATCTAGAGGAGGCTTAGATGGATGCTTGCTGTAATCAAACACATACACCTCTGCACTGACAGTCTTTGTTGCAATAATAAAAGGATTCTGAGGCATGTATCGAGCTCGATTAACTTCTCCATCGTGATTTATCTGCTGAATGATTTGCACCTGCCAGAAGTCAGAAAATTTAGCTTTAGGGATAGTGGCAATGACATCCATTATATAAGCAGATCATGCCCATAAAACTGCACGTAGCTATCACAATATCACATGCTAAAAGGATCACGAACTCATCAAACACTCATCAAACATGGCAGCATCCTTGAAAATGAAATCGAAAAGTACATTTAGAAGCCTGCAACATAGAACATACTACTCTTATAACAGTGTTTTACAAATGGAAAACTAAACAAAATCAGTGACTAGATCAGGCAGGTAATGACTTCTTAAATTCATTGGATACTGATCAATCTTTTACCAAAAGAAAACGAAGTATGCAATGATGAGACCTAAACCAAGTTATTTTTTTAAGTTCCATCAGTAACTATCTCCCAAACCCCATTTTAATCTCCTAAAGTGTTAACCTTGGTTACCCCGACTCGGTAAATCAAGGGCCACACCCGTGTCCGACGTGTGTCGGGTTTGGACACGCTCAAGACACACATTGGACACAGCGCTTCTTCTTAAGTGAGTGGACCCGGAAAAAAAACAATTGGCCAATAATGGGTTCTTTTGTGTACCTTTTCCTTTAAACCAGTGGATCCCACACACAAAAGAAGCCCAATCAGCTCCAATAACGGGTTCTTTTGCGCATCGGATTCAAAACCAAAAGGTTGAAGGTTATTGAACCCGATAACCCAATATCCATAATTAAAGCTTTCTAAAAATATCCATGTATTTCCCCCCTTTTTCTTATGGACTGGTGTCCTGTTTCTTAAGTCAAGCGCGTTCCTATTCGTTTCTCTCTCTTCACTGAACCCAAACACAGGAACAAAGAGGACACCAGTCAGAGCTCAACTCAAGATTGGATCTTCTCTGTTCGACACTACAGGACCTCCTTTCGTTCCTTTTTCTGATTTTAGAATATTTTATATCCTCAAAATAGTAAGTGACTCAGTATTTTTAACTGTAAAGGTTTCTAGGGTTTTAAATTTGAAATCTAATTGAGAAATCAGTTTAAGCTTCTCAGTGTCTCCCCATATCCCGCACCCATGCAATCTAGATGTTAACTAACGCATAATTTCTTATAAGAAGCCATATTTCTATTAATGGACAAGCTAGAAGAACATAAGACAATTAAAACACAAATAGTTTAAATCTGCTAGACTTTTTGTCGCTTTTCAGGTTGAAAATCTTTCAGATAAAAAGTGAAGAAGTTTGCTGAGGGACCAACCAAGAGGCACTCTGGGGCAAGAAACAATGAAGCATCAGAGGGAAAATGCTACATTTGGTAGGAGCTCATTGAGGAGGAGAACCAAGGTTATGGTGTTTGGTTCCAGAAGCAATTAATTAAATTGACATAGGTATAAGTGAACAAAACGCGAGGAAACTATAATAATACAGTCAGCTTGAGGGCTTAACTATGCTTCTGATTGGTGGGTCGTAGGAATTTTTTTCCGTTCAGCTTTTTCCTACCTGCACAATAATGAGGTCTCTTGAGTTACAAGCATGGTCCTTCAAATAATGTAATTGTAAATGTTTATGATAATAGAAATAGATTGGCTGGGGAATCGCACACAGAGAACTCCATACTTTAATCTCAAAAAGGAAAATATAGCAAGGGATGACATTGATTTTCCTAACAGTCTTAACACCTACACCCACTACTCAATACTTGGGTGTTCAGATACATGCCTAGAAATACCCCAACTATGGTGCAGACTGCTTTGGCCATTGGCTTTGGTTAAGCAACCTCAAGCACCAATCAATCGTCAAGATCCTGCTCTATAGCTACTCTTTTAGGGTTAAAATGAGTAATCAATTGTGTGTTTATTAAGACGATTAGGTCTGCTCCCACTAACAACTAGGTTTCAAGAGCATGTTTTTTCAAGTTAATTACAAGTGGGGTGCGAGCCAACCACATGTTCTCGGTTGCAAGCGAACAGCACGAGTGGTGACAACAGTATCACAGTGTTCGCTCCAAAAGGGTGACACCGAGATTGCAATGTTCAACTGGAACTAAACTTGTGATAAGCCAGCCTGTATGGACATCCATACTGCAGAAACATGGTGGTATGTTAATGTCCATTTAATGCCACAACGAAATCAATTGTTGGCTTATAAAAGCTATGGCTTCCCTCCTCTGACCCTTAGCTTCTGAAGGCTGATTCTTATAGATCTATTACATGCGCTTAACTACTGACTTTGATAGTCGAGACATATTTTCAGCCTTAAACATACTAATTCTGTCAAAATAATCAATCAACGTTATGGATTCCCACTGCCTAGATTTATTTTCTTGAAGTTTTAAGTTATTGAAGCTAAAAAACAGCAACAAAATCTTTCCTCTTCCCGAACTACTACGAAACCCCATACAACACCAATTTTCTTATTCCTCCCAAAAAATTCGAACTTTAAGCTTAACAACGTTCTCAGTCCAAGCAAAACCCTAATTTCCATAGTTATTTAAAAATTAATAAAAAAAAGATACCGTACCTTGCCACTAGCGCATCCAAACCCTCCAATCTCACCCCGATCATCATCATACTGCCTCGCGTCGTTCTCCGCGTCATCGATCGGGAGCTGAACCTGAGCGAGCATCAGATAGTTGGGCTCATCATCTGAGGTGTGGGTCCCAAGAATCATCTTTTGAACTGAGTAGTCCTGGCATCCATTGTACGGTCAACGACGGCCACTCGAGGGCGTGGGTGATCACGAGGTCGTAGAGGAACGGCGTGTTCTTCTTCCAGATCTTGTACTCTTCGTTGATGAGGCGCTCCTCGACCTCGCCTCTGAATTCGTCCTCGTCTTTCGCCATGGAGCTGGAATTGGAGTCTTCTAGGGTTAGGGTTCTAGGAAAAATGGAGGGAAACGTTGAGGAGATTTTTTTAGGGGAAGAGGGAGGGGGGGGGGGGGGGGGGG